GATTGAAGTAGATCCAGAACACACTAATCAATGCCCACATGTAGGCCCATATCGAGCGCCTCCACTCGTCGGGCCAACGGGTGAGTATGACGTACACAATGGTCGACCCACCAGTAAATCCGGCGCCGAATACGAAGAAATAGTACAAAGCCTTTGTCTGATGGATCCGGAGCCGGAACTGGCGTTTAATCCGTTTCATGATTACCGCCTTTTCCAGTTGATTGTGATAGAAAGCGCCGCCTAATAATAATTTCTGGGAGCCTTTTTTGACCTTGCTGTTAAACAGGTCGTATATCATGACCCAAGTTTGCATGCGTTTCGTGTTTTTGTACTTGATGAACTCTAACACCACGATAGGCCCCGGGAGGGTCCACAGGGCCATCATGAGGCACATCTCTAGCTTGGGCACCTCCATGTACCCCGATGCGTCGCCTAGGTAGTACACCATCTGCTGACCATTATCCAGGGTGCAACAATAAAATAATTTTACGGTTAACAAAATCAGCAAGGATAATCGGAACCGGTGCCAGAATACTTTGTTGCCAATGAACCGCCATGCCCTTTGACCCGCATTACTTTGGCTCCGTTTGATTGCCTTATCGCCCAACAGCCCCCACCCCCTCAGGTGGTCCTCAATGTCGTACGACTTCTGACTCCACGACTGGTTAGTACACCGGAAACGCTCCATACGTGACGCGTGAGACATCACTTAAACCTTGTTTTGTGACCACTTTTTGTCGGGAAATATGTGAAGAGTTTTATAAACTTTTTATAAGTTTTGGGAAATTATTTTTTTACTTTTGTTATAACTTTAAAAATTACATTTGAAAATAAAATTTGTTATGAAATAAAAGTTTCTAAACTTTCTGAATTTATACTGTATTAAAATGTCAATGGTTATATAACTATATTAAAAACAAATATTATTTTATGTTGGTTGCGCTAAACAAATATAATTATTGCCTAATGTATTAGACAAGGATATTGAATTGTTTTTACAATATATCTTAATAATGTTTAAGCAAATAATAATAATTATGTCGCAATTTAAAATGTTTTGTAATCCAATTTTCCTGATTATGCATTACATGAATGTTTTTAAAAATATTAATTTTTTAAATTAAATTTTTATAATAAATAATTGAAAGTTTTGTCTATATAAATATTTGCATTCATTTGAATTATAATAATAAAACAAATTGTATACAAATATTTCTGAAATATTATTTTATAATCATAAGAAAAAGCAAATACAATATAATAAATTAAATTTTTTAAGGTTTTTAAGGTTTTAAAGTTTTTAATTTTTTGTTTTAAGTTTTTTTAGATTAACAATTAGGTACATGATTTAAATATTTATCAATGTTAGACTTTATACTTATTTGTTACACTTTAACTTAATTACAAAATAAATACCCTACACAATCCTTAAATAATATCTATATTGTCAACACCTGAATGTTTTCTCAGTATTATAGCAAGTATTAAATTTTATATAAATGCTCTGGCACTAATCATAAGGCTCAACATTGTTTAATAATTATGTATGCCATTAGATATAACATTACAATTATAATACTTATAAATTGGTTACAGGGTATTAATTGCATTCCCGGTGCTGAGAGGTATGAGCCAACCTGGGACTCCCTAGATAAGCGACCATTGCCCACATGGTATGATGAGGCTAAGCTAGGTATTTTTATACATTGGGGCGTATTTTCTGTGCCCTCCTTTGGCGACATAAACAGCGAATGGTTTTGGTATATATATAAATAAATTGTTATAAAATATGTGATAAAATACTTTTCTATACTTATATAATGTTTATTGCCTAGGTTCAATTGGAAAACAAATAGCCCAAAATATGTGGATTTTATGGCCAAAAACTATAGGCCCGGGTTCACGTACGCCGACTTTGCCAGCCAGTTCACGGCCGAGTGGTATGACCCGGATAAGTGGGCCGAGATATTTAAGTAATTACTGGTACATATGTTTGAATTATTAGGGTTGTTAAATAAAGTGTATGCTTTAATATTGATTAGGGCATCGGGTGCTAAATATATTGTGTTAACCAGCAAACACCACGAGGGGTATACCATGTGGCCATCGACCACCTCGTTCAATTGGAATGCCATGGATGTCGGACCTAAAAGGGACTTGTTGGGTATGTTTTATAAATAATTATTACATTTATAATAAATTCAAATGACACGGTTTTCCAATAATGTAGAATTTTATTTTTATAATAATCTGCTAATTAACTATGAATTGATGTACAGTCTCTCAAATAATTTATTTCATATTTAAAAGGTTAAGACTACAGTAAAATCCAAACCATTATTGTATTATTAAACTCATATGAACAATATATAATTCTTAAATAGTTTTCATTTACAGTTTTATATAAATATCAGATTTCGAAAAAAGTTTTGTCCATCAGATTTGACTACTAAAATGCGGGTTATTACTAAACTATTTAAGTTATGAAATTTATATTTAAACCTCAACTATGGTTTTTGGTCTTACATATTCTC